GATGGGTCTGTCAATGCTGTTGAAGAGGTTGCAAGTGATGAGGAGACTGTAGTCTTAGATAACAAACAAAACTAGTAGGAGTGAACTTTATTGGCAAAATATTGCTTTTCATGTACGTCCTTACATGATCCGCGATGGGTGTGATGATGAGGGACCGAAATGCTGCAGGGTGGTCCGTCTTGACGTCTTGACCTTGCTCCTTGCATGCCTCGTCTGTGGTGCATGCAGGTGTGGAAGCCGAAGTAGCGACGAAGCTGCTTCATGCTTGAGCCAAGGCCATCGACGCCATAGCATGGAGTTCCAGATCTGTCCACTTCGTCTCAGTTATTGATTAATTAAGAAAACAAGGGTTACGAGTATAAACAAAATTTGGTAAAAAAAAGGTCAAGCACAGAACCATGCAGGAGGAATTGCTGGATCCACTCAAACTTGTTGAATTGCGCCAGAGAGCTCTAGCCGCCTTGGCACAGGGTGTAGATGTGGATGAAGTCACCGATGCTTACCAACAGGGAGTTGATGTGGATCATGACAATGAGCCTCCCGTCACTGCCCCCACAACCGCTGGGCGTTCAGAGGCCACAGAAAATGAAATGGGATCAGACAGACAAAAAGAAGAAGCACCCACACAAACCACAATAAACACAAGCATCAGTGCCAGCGTGCATGGTACAAGAGTGGAACGCCAAGAGAGAAACTTTGACATCTTAAAGGTTGTTGAAGCCAGAGCCAGAGCAGCCACCATGACACTATCGCGAGTACAGCATATTGATGCCTCTGAACCAGCACACAACCAGGATGAAATCAGACCTGCAGTATCATCACCAAGGCAAACAACAATCGCACAGAATGAATCCAACTTTGCTGGACGAAAGGTTGTAGAAGAACCTTTCTGCGACTCCCTCCAAAATGACCAGCTATCATTCTTTTCCAAAAATGATGAAAAGCTGGAAGGACATCAACCAAGTGTTATCAAGCCAACAATGGGGCAAGTGGCGCAAGCAGTCAACCAGTCAGCTCAACCTGGAGCCAATGCTGGAGCTGCCGCTGTAGCCAACCAGCCAGCTCTTCCTGGAGCCTATGCTGGAGCACCGGGGGAGGGGCTACACCGCAACTCCACAGTGCGGTTTTCCCTTTTGGGACGAGAAGCCTTCTTTGGGAGTCCTTCTGGAACTTTCTACAAGAGCCAAAGCATTGAGGTTGCAAACACATCAAGGTACATTCGAGATAGATGATCAGTTGCCATCCCTGTAGATGAGACTTCAACAACAAACCTACAAACAGCAGAAGAACTAGGAGACATTGCAGAACCAGAACTCCAAGCAACAAAAAGCAGACGACAAAAGAGGGCTCTTGATGCTACATTGAAATTTGTAGTGCCAGGGTTGCTTTTCATTATCATCATTGTGCTCATTATTGTATTCCTCCTCCCAGACACAGATGAAGCACCAGCAGCTGCTACCAGCTACCGGTATCCTTCTGAGGCACCATCAATGGCCCCAATCTCCATGGAATCATTTTTTTAATCCTTTCTCCCAGATCACACCATCAAGGCAATGGAAGACAAGGATTCGGCCCAAAACCAGGAATTTGAATGGCTTTTGGAGGATCCCTTTGTCTATGAATATGCAGGTTGGCGGATTCTTCAAAGGCATGCTCTGATGACCATTTCTATTCCACTGCTGGTACCAGATGGCTCAACAACACAGGCTGGGGAAGCTACAATGTGCATGAATGTGACTGGTACCAAAAGCCAGAATTTGGCTTCAAGTCATCCATTATAGAGGTATACCCGGGGCTCCAGTCAAGTTTTCTGCAGCACTTACGAGAGATGCATTGTGATGCTCAAGGATTTGTTCACCACCTTTGGATGGACCAGAGCAACCTTGTGGGTTCTCTGCCTGAGGAACTCTTCAGCATGACCTCCCTTGAGTCCATATCTGCTGGTTTCAATCATCTATATGGTACAATTCCTAGCCACATTGGGCAGCTGAGTGAGTTGAAAGGGTTTGCTGCCTTCTCTACAGAGCTGGCTGGATCAATACCAAAGGCCATTGCAAGCTTGACAACATTGCAAGCCTTTGTATTATATGACAACAAGCTGGAAGGGTTCATTCCAGATGAACTCTGGCAACTAAGCAACTTAGCATTCCTTATGATTGGTTGCAATGAGAAGCTACAAGGAACACTCCCATCAATTGTTGGCACTTTGCCTAAGCTGAGGGTGTTTGAAATGGAGAAATGTGGCATCTCTGGTAAGTGTCCCTTTGCCATGGGCAGATTTTTGCTGCTTCCAGTTGAGTGCTCATTCCCTTCCCTATTTCAACCAATTGTCTTTTCCTTGCATATAGGTGCAATACCACCAGAGCTGGGACAAATTGAATCGCTACAATTTTTGGCCTTACTGGGGAATCAACTTTCTGGGACTCTCCCAAGTGAGCTTGGATCCCTCTCCAAACTTGTACACCTTCACCTCCATTCCAACCTTCTACAGGGGATTTTGCCTAGTGAACTCTCTAGCCTTACCAACCTGGAGTTCCTCGCCCTGGGAGACAACCGTTTCACTGGAGAAATTCCTTCTGAGTTTGGGCTTTTCCCATCTCTGGGTTTGCTTAACGTTAAAAACAATTCTCTCAGTGGCACTATACCAGATGAGTTGTCTTTCCTGCAGGAAACACTTTTCACTTTGCACACTGGGGGAAACGCTTTGCTCTCTGGGGCGGTGCCAGAATCTCTCTGTACTCTTTATGGCACACGCCCATGCAGTGGTTCTGGCTTTGGAGTTTGTCCTGGAATCCTTGGGACGTCTTTTGACTGCACAGATTTGTTGTGTGGATGTGACTGTCCCTGTTGGCAGCCGGTTAGTCTCCCCACCATACCAAGGGACCAGCAGCTCCAGCACGTACTGGCATCCTTGCCACGCATGCATGGATGGTTTGTTTCATTGCAGGATGATGGCATAGCACCAAAATACTTAGAAAATTTTATAGGTGGCGTTAGATTAGCTGTACCTTTGGCTATGGATCCCCAAGTCTGCCCACTGGCTAGTGCCAAGAGGCTTCTGCTGACAATGCAGAATAGTGCTGTCCCATCCACATGCTGGTCTGGAATTCTAAAGGATAATTCTGTCGAGCTAGGCAGTAAAAAGTTTTACGCAGTCTGTCACTCCTCTTTGGCTGTGGTTGATGAAACTACTCTAGAGGTTGGGATTCCCCTTCGAAGTTCCTTGCGCTGCCAGCAAGCTACTGGTAGTAATTAGAATAGGTTGCCTTACTCAGGCGGTGGGATTTCCAGAAATACTTGCCACCAATTTGTATCGGTATTTGGTTGCTTCCGGCACGGAGCCCACAGCAACCCCGCCAGCTTTAAGTGGGCACCGTTGCTTCAATCTGTGTCTTGAGGACCAATTTGTTGCTGCACACTGCTGCACCCGGACCTCAGTACCGTACTGACTGCTGCTCTGAAGTACCAGCTGCCGGCCAGGTAGACGACCTTCTTGGGAAAATCTCACGTTAGCTATTTTAACCCACAATGCTCCCTGGCTGGCAGGTAAAACGAAATTAGGCAAACCGTGAAACTCTATAACCCTCTTCTGGATTTCATTTCGGGAGTGCGTCCTCCTGTTCACTGATTGTGCGACGGGAGTGACGACAACCGGAGACGAAATCTGACAACACAATCGTCGAATGATTTGATTCATCATTCGATTCGAATCGAATGATTCAATCGAATCGATTCATTCGAAATATTTCGAGTCGAATGAATCCGGTGCTACATGTACTAAAGCACGTGTAGTGTTGAACGAGCTGTCCATCTGCAGTTCGCGACGAACCCCGTATCCAACTTAGTCGCTCTGCAGCTACGGATGCTTCGCCTTCCCGCGACTCTCCTGTAGTGCTCACCCCATCCAAGGAATGAGGTGATCTCCTTATCTGTGGCCTCTGGCAACACGGAACTGACGGCATAATTGATGTTCGAATCATCAATCTTGATGCTGCTTCTCACTGTCGCAAGGATCCTGACAAGGTCCTTCGCAATAGCGAACACAACAAGAAACGCAAGTATCTCGATGCCTGTCTTTCCCAACACCGCCACTTTACTCCGTTTGTTGTCCCTTCTGATGGTCTCCTTGAGGCCGAAGCTGAGGCACCCGCGAAACGCATTTCCGCTTTGCTCGCTGCAAAGTGGGAACACCCTTACTCAGTGGTGCGTGGCTACGTTAATGCTCGGCTTAGCCTAGCTATTCTTCGAGCCCGCCACCTCAACATGCGTGGCTCTCATGTCCCTGCTGGCACCATGAGCTACCGTCGTTCTCTTTGGGATGCCGATGGTGCACTTGCACTCTGCCGCTAATTTTGCTCCCTTCTGCTTCCTCGTTTTCCTCCATGCACCCCCCTTCCCCTGCCCCCTTTGCCCTGCTCCTGTCCTCATTGCTCTCCCCGTACGCCCACCACCACAGCCCCCCACCACCGCAGCCACTGCTCTGCCTAGCTTCGCCCCCCTCCGCTCCTTAACGTATCTATTTAGTATTTGCAAGCTGTTGAAAGCATGTGGCGAGCAGTGCTGTATCAAGTTTTCAGTACGAGGTGTATATATCACATACATTTCAGTACAACACGTTCGTGAATCAAATCGGAATGAGTATTTCTTTTACAGGCATTATTAGGGGTCGTCAAAGTTCCTCCTTTTTAACACTATTTTTTTCTTTTCTGGATTCTGGTGGGGGAGCGTGGAAGTTTCAAAAGAAGGGGTCGGAGAGGCAAGAAAGTTCCTCCTCCGAGAGAGGAGCGAAAATAGTTCCTCCTTCTCTCACAATTGTTATTTTTCTCCTCCTCGGGTCATTGTGATGGTTCTTCGAAGCCTTTCTTTTTGCTTCTGAATCATGAGATAAGGTAGAGACTTTTAAAAAACGTACTGCAAATGTTGTCCTGACGGTATCTAGCGACTTAACGTTACACTGATTCAGAGAATGGCTGGGTCATTTTTCCGTTGATCTTCTTCAAGGGTTCTCGTTCCGAGCGAACCTCATCTCTGTACCTCTCCGGTTCCTCACCAGATCCCCTTTTGGCTGGTTCCCCTCTTCAGGCTCCCCCACCAGGTTCCAGAAAAGAAAAAAATAGCACCAAAAAGGAGGAACTTTGACGACCCCTATTGAAAAGGGGCACATCAGATAATGTCGTATTGGTACTTCATTGCAGTCATTGGTACCGGTAATGGTTGCAGTTGCAGTGTTGCGACCGCTGCTCAACATGCTACTAGCTAGCTAGTACCTACTGGCTAGCCAGCTACCGTACGGTAGGAGTGGTACCTGGTACGTGGCTGCGCTGCTCAGCCGTTGCATCCAAAGCAATGAAGCAAGCCAAAGCCAGCTTCTTCTGCCTCGTGCTTGAAGCCGAAGCTAAACCCAAATCTATGCACTTCGTCTCAGCCGATCAATCCGTAGTAAATTAAAAACTAAAGGGTAGCACACTGTACGGTTAAAGCAGAGGTCATACGTACACAGAACCATGCAAGATGAAGGCCAACTTGATCCACTCAAAATTGTTGAACTGCGCCAAAGAGCTCTAGCGGCGTTGGCACAGGGTGTAAATGTGGATGAACTCACCAATGCTTACGACCAAGGAGTTGATGTGGATGGAGTTGCAGATGCTAGTGATCAAGGAGTTGATGTTGGGCCTTCCACCGCTGCCCCCACCACCTCTGGGCGTTCAGAGGCCACAGAAAATGAGATGAGATCAAATAGACAAAAGGAAGAAGCAAGCACACATGCCACTACTACTGGCAGTGCCAGCATAAATGTTACAAGAGTGGAACGCCAAGAAAGCAACTTCGATGTTCTAAAGGTTGTTGAAGCCAGAGCCAGAGCCAGACAAGCCAACATGGAACTATCATGAGTACAGCATATTGATGCCTTTGAACCACCAAACAACGCAGGTGAAATCGGGCCTGCAGCATCACCAAGGCAGAAAACAATCACACAGAACGAAACCAACGTTGATGTACCACAGGGTCCAGAACTCCCTTTCTGTGACACCGGGCAAAAAGGCCAGCTATCATTCTTCCGTCACAACATCCAAACGCTGGATGGACAACAACCACATGTTATTAATCCAACAACGGGGCAACCGGCACAAACAGTCAACCAGTTAGTTTCTCCTGTATCCTATGCTGGAGTTCCTGGGCCTATATCTAACCAGCTACCGATAGCTCGTCCTGGAGCCTATGCTGGATCGCCGGCGGGGATGGGCACACGCCGCAACACTGATGGTCGATTTTCCCTTCTGGGACGAGAAGAATTATTTGGAAGTGCCTCGATGGCATCCTTCAAAAGTGAAAGCTTAGAAGTTGCCAATCCATCTCAAATAAGCAGCACTACTACATTGTCTACTAATCACATTGGATTGTCTGTTGCCATCCCAGTTGACGAGTCTTCGACAACAAACTTGCAGCCAGACTGCGCAAGAACTACAAACCATCAGTGAGTCTGGACAAGAGTCGAATGACGCAAGAATCAAAAGACGCAAAGAGAACTTCAAAGCTACACTGAAGATTGCAGTACCAGGGTTGCTTTTGATTCTCGTTATTGTACTCTTGCTCGTTTTCCTCTTACCAGACAAAGATTAAGTTGACGCAACAAAATATCCAACAACAGCACAATCAATGAACCCCACCCCGGCCACAACCTCTGTGGAATCATTCCTCCTATTCCTGCTGCTAGATCACACCACCAAGGAATCGGAAGATACATCTTCAGCACAGTATCAAGCTTTTCAATGGCTTCTAAAGTTATTGCGCTGAATGACAACAAGCTGGAAGGGTCCATTCCGGATGAACTTTGGCAACTAAGCAGTCTGGACAGCCTTGTGCTTGGCCGTAATGAGAAGTTACGAGGTACTATTCCATCAAGTGTTTGTGCTTTCCCAAAGTTGAGGTGGCTGGTATTGGATGACTGTGATCTCTCTGGTAGGTCTGCTGTCTCATTTGTCAAAGCATCTTACTGCCAGTAGGCTATTATTTGATTGATGCTCATGTTTCGATTGTCCTTTTTCTCAACTTCAAGGTACCATTCCTACAGAGCTTGGACAGGCTAGATCTCTAGAATTCCTGTTTTTGTTGGGGAATCAGCTTACCGGTATGCTCCCAACAAGTGAGCTTGGATCCCTATCAAATATCTGGATTCTTTCTTTGTTTGCTTGGCAATCTTCTCCAAGGGTCTCTTCCCAGTCAACTCGGGCTTCTGAAAACATCCCACATTCTCCTGCGCCACAATTTCTTCACTGGCACTCTCCCCTCTGAGCTGGGTCTCACTCCGCTTCAATAGCTAGTGCACTAGGCATTGAGTCAAACCAGCTTTCAGGTACAATTCCCAGTGCTTTCTCTAGCCTTTCCAATTTTGAGCATTTCTCTCTAGGGACAACAGCTTCACTGGAGAAATTCCTTCGAGTTTGGGCTTTGACATCCCTGGGAGGCTTACATGGAAAACAATCACCTCCTGGAACTGTTCCAGCGGAATTGGCTTCCTTGCAGGAATCACTGTACAGCTTCCGATTGATGGCAACAGCCTCTCTGGTGTGATACCAGAACCTCTTTGTATGGTGAATGGCACATGCATTGAGGATAGTTTGGGGTCTCATTGTGAGGGGTTTCTGGACATCTTTTGATGCACGAGTTGTTGTGTGGGTGTGACTGTCCTGCTGAGTTCCGCTGCTGATTCAAACATTGGGTTGATTACCGGTACAGTGACGCAAGTTGATTGATTAATTCGCCAGAAAAATCGTGAATCTTCCAAAATTGATTTTTTTTTTGTTTTTCCCTCCAGAAGAACCCTTCTTGACCATGAGTTGAAGCCCGTGAAGCAGTTTTCTTTGGAAGTGCCCTCGTTAATTAATTTCAATTAGAGCGGGGCTTTATTTTCGTCTCGCAAAGAGTGACCGTCAGTTGCCAAAGTGCACACGGGTTTGCAATGGAGTGTGGAGTGTTATCGCGTTGCCCTGTACCTGCAACTGGAAGGGACTGGGCGATCTTGTACTAGTATCTAGCTACATAGATCTAAGTGGGACATGGTTTTGTAAGTTCAGTTGTGAGGGCAAAGGGCTGTACGGTAGGTGAGGAGCCGAGGAAACAGGTGGGGGCGTGATGTAATTTCAATCACTAGCTAGTAGCTGTTTGTAGCAGGTGGCTGGACCTCTGGACCTTGGTTCTTCTTTCATCTTCCAGCCCAATCGATGGCAGCAACAAAATCGATACCAACCAGAGCACCCAAACCAAGATAGTGACAGGACGACTCTGCGTGAGGACGATTCCAGCGATGGGCAAGACGAAGAAGAGCTGGATCCGCTCATGCTTGTCAAAATCATTGGGCCAGAGAGCTCAAGCTGCTTGCTTGTGTTAGAGTTGCAAGAGGATGAGGCATCCAAACCACTACCGGTACCGGTACCGGTACATGCTGGGATGAGGAAACTGAAATGGGGCCAACTCTAATAACGCGAGAAGAAGATTCCAATCGCTCCACATCACTGCTACCAGTATGGACACGATCAGTTGGATGACACAAGGATTGACCGTGATGGACGCAACTTTGCAATATGCATGTCATCGTTTCCATTCCTCCCATGTGAGACGGTATACCGGTAGGACACTGAGCATCATCATACGAAATGAAGGCATCAAACCAGTTGTTGCCAAGAGTAGAATGGTCATGCACCGCTCAAGAGTTTGGTTGCCATCTCCAACAGTACCGTTAGATGCAAAAGTATTGCTAGCCTCTCCTTGCACGGTACCATTTCCTCGGTACTGGTATGAGGTTTTTGCAGGGCCATACGATCGGAGATCCGAGCTGCAATGATGCATTAGTACAAACTGTGAACAAACTGTGAACAAACTGTGAACAAACTGTGAACAAACTGTGAAGATGGGACTGCCCGCTGGGCACGGGCATGGGTGCGACTGGTGCTGGATACAGGGGCCAACATGCTCGTAGTTACACTCGCTCGACGCTTGCACAATGGGTTGTGCAAGGTGTAGCGACATTGCCTCGATTCGGGCAATCACCTCAATGGCATACGGATGGCGTTGTAGGCTCCAAACCATACATCCCTTTAGCACAGCAGCGACCGTGACGCAGACTCAGGCTTCTCAGTGGAGCCAAAACGTGGCTGATTGCAGTTCCGCACCTTCCGGTATCAAGGAACCATGGCTCCTTCGGTACAAGGAGCCTGAATAGCGCTCCTTCACGGGAGCTCGCGGTGTAAACGATTGCTCCATCTTGCAGACTCACCTGACGACAAAAGAACGTACGAGATAAATTGATTACTTGGAGGAGCAAGTGTGAATGCTGTATTGGGGGCGGAAGTCCTTACAGAACGAAAGTCAGGTGAGCTGAGGGCTTTGAGGGAGCGTCAACTAGGGAAGTTCTAACCAGCAAAATCAAGGTACATGTAACTCAATGTTCACTGTAGCGGTGCGGGTATCGATGCAGGCCCTAGCTAGCTGGCTTCCGTAGATACTCCACCTACTCTAAACCCCCCTTTGTCTTGATCGATGCAGTACTGTACTGGTACCGGTACGGAGAGCCTCAGTTTTTCCTCTGGAAAGTCCCGCAAAAGCTGGAATGGCTGAAAGGATCTGTAAAAGTGTTGAATTTGAGTTCAACAGTGTTGACTTTTTTTAAACAGTTGTTCAACACTTATTTAAACACTTTTTCAACACTTTTTCAACAGTGTTGAATACTGTTTAAGACTGAATTCAACAGATGTTGAATCCATTAGTAGATACTTACAGTAAAAGTGTTGAAAATAATGTACAAAAATCCAACAGTAAATCCAACAGTTGTTGAAACGGAGTCAACATTAAATCAACAGATCTTCAACACTTTAATTAACACTTTTTCAACACTTGTTGGATTTATTCAACAATCAAGCTGTTTAATTAAAGAGTATCGCAAAAACTCAGTTTTTGCGGGACTTTCCTGCGCACACACGAGGATGATGTGGGAAAAAAAAGAGAAAATGGATATTTGAAAAACAAAATTTGTAATGTCCGCACTTTGTCCGAGAATACCGATCCTAAAAGTACCGGTACAGTAGCCGCGAATAGCCATGTCATGAAAGCATTGAATTTCCAAATTCCGAAGCATAGGATGAATTATAGGGCGTGCACGTGTGCACAGCTGAAGGTTGAAGTGCAGTTGTAACCACAAAACACACAAGGCTCGGACGCGGTACTGGTAGCAAGAGCCTTCACGCTTCACACCTTCACTTTACTACGGTACTATCAGATCCCGTACCGTACGGTAGGCACTCTAGTAGGAGAGACCGTGAATACCATACATACCCAGGCCCAGATTCCAAAGCGATGAGAATGAATGTCTATTCTGCTGTCCTGTTGCACTGATCCACTGATCAATTGACACTAAGTAACCACAAGGAAACAAATGCCAACTAATTGATCTAGCTAGTGAAGTGATGAGCAAGTCGCCAAGTGAGTACCAGGGGCTTTGTTTCAAATTGAAGATCGGTCCTCCCAAAAAGAGCAAGTCGCTACGGCATATCAGCAATATCACAACGACTGGGTGGTGCTGATACTAGCTAGTAAGCATCAAGCTGAGGCTCACGTCGCGCGAATAATAGCAAACCATGAGAGGGAAGCTCTTCTGCTTCGTCCCAACCACGCCATTAAACGCTCACAACGACACCACACTTGAGTTTCAATTGTGGATTGTAGCAGACACTAAGAAATATGCAAAAAGGTTCCGAGTATTGTCCTGACGAAGAAGAGTTGGGTCCACTCAAGATTGTTCAATTGACCCAGAGAGGAGCCCGTGCTGCTTCTAGCCAAGGCGATGACATGCTCGTGCCATCCAACACCACCCCCACCAACGAAGTGGAGCCATGCACCGATAAGATTACAAAGGACATGGCACCAACTCCAATGTGTACTGTACCGGGCAAACACGCCAATGCCATGGACAGAGTCACCAGTGTGGATGGCACACAAAGTGACGGAGCAAAGGTTGCAGAAGCAATAGCCGGAGTTAAACCAAACTGCTTGACGCTGGAAAAAGTACTGCCTGTTGAAGCCCTTGGCCAGGCAAGTAGCACCAGTAAAACCAAGCCTGCTCAGTCGAGAAGTCAGACTGGAAGAGGAGTAGCAATCCAGTCCAACGAAGCCACAAACTTTGATGTAATGAAGGTCGTTGAAGCCAGAGCACGCGATGCCAGCATGAATCTGCAGAGAGTAGAGTACGTGGATGCTGAGACGGGGAAAGCAGACAGCACCCTTCAAATTGGGCGCACACAATCATCAAGGAGGGCTGCAGGCATTCAGGCCGCAGTACCGGTATCACCAAGCCAGACTACAATAGCACGCAACGAAACCAACTATGAAATGAAGGTGCTTGAAGCCAGAGCCTGCAGAGCAGCTGCCTTGAGTCTGCAGAGTGTACAAACGCTGGACAGACAACAACCTGGGGATATTAGTCCAACAATGGGGCTAGAGGTGCTTGCAGTCAACCAGTCAGTTCGTCCTGGAGCCTATGCTGGAGTGCCGGGGGCAAGCGTACGCCGTAACACTGATATTCGTTTGTCGCTTCTGGGGCGGGAAGGATTATTTGGAAGTGAACCTATGACCTCCTTCCAGAGTGAAAACTTTGAGGATGGTCCATCAGAGACAAACGGCAATAGACTGTCTGTTGCCATCCCAGTTGACGAGCCTTCTACAACAAACATACAGACTGCACAAGAACTACCAACCATCAGCGAGCCTGGACAAGACTTGGATGAAGCAAGAATCAAGAGACGCAAGGAGAATCTCAAAGCTACACTGAAGATTGCCAGAGCAGGGTTGCTGTTCATTCTCATTATTGTACTCTTGCTTGCTTTCCTCTTGCCAGACAAAGATCAGGTTGAAGCAACACAGTCCAAAACAACTGCACCACCAATGAGCATGAGCACAACCACAGCTCCGACCTCCATGGAATCGTTATTTCTATCCCTGCTGCCTGAGCACACCACCAAGGCATTGGAAGATACAGCTTCAGCACAATACCAAGCTTTTCGATGGCTCAGAGAGGATCCCTTCATCTATGGATACTCAGAGCAGCGCATACTTCAAAGGTATGCTCTGATGACTGTCTTCTATTCCACTGCAGGCCCAACTCAATGGTTCAACAAGACAGGTTGGGGGAGCTACCATCTTCATGAATGTGCTTGGTTTCAAAATCAAGAATTTGCTCTCAAGTCATTCGTAGGAAAGCTATACCCAGGCTTCCTAAGAGGCTTCTTGGAGCCTCTACCTGACAGCCAATGTGACAAGCAAGGGCTCTATCAACATTTGTGGTTGGATCAGAACCACCTTGTTGGTTCTCTGCCAGAAGAACTTTACAGCTTGACCTCACTCAAAACTCTTTCTGCTGGTCTGAATCCTCTGTATGGCTCATTGTCTAGTTATATTGGACAGCTTACAGAGTTGCAGGGGCTTGTCATTTTCACGACTGGGCTGTCTGGATCCATACCAAAGGAAATCGGCAGCATGTCATCATTTAAAGTTATTGGGCTGAATGACAACAAGCTGGAAGGGTCCATTCCAGATGAACTTTGGCAACTAAGCAGTCTGGACAGCCTTGTGCTTGGCCGTAATGAGAAGTTACGCGGTACTATTCCATCAAGTATTGGCACTTTCCCAAAGTTGAGGTGGCTTTTGATTAATGAGTGTAATCTCTCTGGTAAGTCTCTTGTTGTCTCATTTTAATTTAAAAGCCCCACCTACACACTTCAATCTATCTCATTACATGGTGCTGTTCTTCATTCTAAGGCTCCATTCCTAAAGAGCTTGGGCAGGCTACATCTCTAGAATGGCTGGTTTTGTTGGGGAATCAACTTTCTGGGACTCTCTCCAGTGAGCTTGGAGCACTCTCGAAGCTTTGGATTGTTTCCTTGAGTGGCAATCTTCTCCAGGGGACTCTGCCCAGTCAACTTGGTCTTCTCACTTCATCCTACCGTATGACCCTGCGCCACAATTTCTTCACGGGCACCCTTCCCTCTGAGCTGGGTATCCCTCCACTGCAATGGCTAGTCCTTGAGTCAAACCAGCTTTCTGGTACAATTCCCAGTGCTTTCTCTGGCCTTTCCAATTTGGAGTTTATCTCTCTGGGAAACAACAGTTTCACTGGAGAAATCCCTTCGGAGTTTGGGCTTCTGACATTGCTGGGCAGGCTCACCATGGAAAATAATCTCCTCCATGGAACTGTTCCAGCTGAACTGGCTTCCTTGCAGGAATCACTGTACAGCTTCCGAATTGATGGCAACAGCTTGCTCTCTGGTGTGATACCAGAACCTCTTTGTACTGTGAATGGCACATGCATTGGAGATAGCTTGGTGTCTCATTGTGAGGGGTCTTCTGGATCATCTTTTGATTGCACTGAGTTGTTGTGTGGGTGTGAATGCCCCTGCTGAGTTCTGCTGGTCTTTGGCTGGCGATTCAGTCGTTCAATTGAATATCCCTTGTACTTAGTCCGTTGTCACTATAGTTTAGACCTTGCTTTGATACTTCTTTGGCTAGCTAGGCGGAAAGGCAATCGCGCTGTCCCGTTTCGAATCAACTAAAATGACCCGCCTGTAACTCGCATCCACAGTTAGTTTTCGAATCTAAAAAAGGCAAGCACTCGTGCCGGTACGTAAACGTTGGCTGCGACTCCCCACAAGTCAAAACATGATGGGTGATTCCTCATCGTCAGCGAATGGATCGTCCGTAGCTCCAGGTGGTACGGTCGGTGTTGTCTTGCCTTTTGACAGTGAATCACCGCCCTTGGACTCGCCTTCGACAAGCGAGGCAAGGTTGGCTTTTCGATCCTTTTCGGTCAGTCGGTCCGATTCTCCTTCATCCTCCTCGGCAAATTCATCGATATCGTCAAAGCCAGATTCGATTCTGCTGCGGAATTTGCTATCCAAAGAGATCTCCGAAAGTTGACTCCGTAGAACGTTTCGAGCGTTGGTGGTGTCGGGGATTGTCATGTTCACATCGTTGCCCCTGCTGCCTCTTGAACCTCTAGAGGAGTCCGCAGACTTGGACCCAGTCGCGAAGCTGACCAACGATGTGCGGGCGAGTAACGGAGAAAGGTTCGAACTCGATCCTCCTTCTGAAGATCGTAGGTTTTTTTTGTAGGCATGGGGCAGATTCTTGAGATCGAGCTTGGACCCTAGTGACGATGCCAATCCGGTCGAGTTGTGCCCATCCTCCTCCGACAACCATTGGATATTCTGCGTAACAGCAAGGACTTTAAGTTCAGAAAACACGGGGTCGTTCATCCCGTGCGCAATGGGCAATTTCACCGTGTTGTTCTTGTCTTTTATCTTCTTGTCGGCTTTTTGACAAAGTTCAAGTCCTTTGAGAATGAGTGCCTCTGTGTCACCCACATCGCCATGTCTGGCAATCAGCTGTTCGGCCACTCTCAGGCACAATTCTGCCGTCATGGTGTTTGGAGACCAGCAAAGCTTCGTGTAGACACTATCGAGAAAGTCAGGTACGACCCCATTTTCCTCTTCGATCAACCATTCGACTATGTCTTCGAAGTCTTTGAAGTTGGATGGATCGTGACGAATATCCAACAGCAGCATCAGTGGTTTGAACACTGGAGAACAGGGGCTCGTTTTATCGTGCTTCACAAAGTGCTTTTCGTAGTTGTCAATCACATATTTTTTGAACAAACTTCGCATCCTCTTTTCGTCCCCTCGCGGTACGTAGATTCGAAGGATGGGCAGGAGCATCTCGCACATGTTGAGCACATTTTTGGGATCCATCAAGAACATAATTTCATTTAAGACATAGTTGCACGCTTCCAACGCCTTGTCCTCTTGTCCAAGTTGCATATGCCACAGTGCACATTGTGAATATGCTTGTGCACTACGATCCGTCCCATAGGCCTCGGAAATGCCTGCCGAATGCTCTTCGGGATCGTAGATTTGTTTGAGGATTTCAAAGGATTCTAATGCCACCTTGTATCTGCCGAGCCGTGCCTTGACCTCACAGAGCATGGCCACTGCACGTGTGTAATGCACGGGATCTCCCTGTAGTTTGGTTTCTCGGACAAACTTTTTGGCGAGATTCTGTTCAAAGGTTGACTTGTCGTCGTCTTGGATCTTGCCTCCCTTGAGAAAGACAAAGAGCCCGCTAAAGGTTGGGAACAGCATGGACCGATCCTTCACAAAGGACCGCGCAGGCGCCAATTCGTAAATTTCCAAGGCATCCAGCCATGCTTGTGCGGCAGCTTTGGGACCAGACTTGTCTCCGACATTGAAGGTTCCATGAACACGTCCTTTGGAAATCAGCAACTGCACGACGCATTCCAAATCGGACACGCTAAAGGCATCAATTTCATCCTTGGTGAATCCGCCCACCTGTTCCTTTTTGTCGCGCATGGGATCGACTTGCCAAACCGCCAGAGCGTCGTCGAAGAGTGTCAACGACTGACTGTGTAATCCCATTTCTTCGTACATCTTGCCAATGGTCAGCGCCAATTTGGCCGAGTTGCTATTATTGTTGTGGTTGTTGTGTGTCGTGTTGTGGCCCGTGGTGGTCCCGTCATGACTGGCCGAATAATCTCGCATGCTGGGTTGTTTCTTGCGCAGAAGCAATCGTCGAATGGCGACACGATCTCGTGAATCTTCCTGCAATGCCTTCCAAATTTTGGGATACACCACGAACCAACAGGGAGGCATGGCCAATGCAAAGACGAGCATGGTCGTCAAGTAGACTGTGACGTCGGGATTGTTGGACGATGTCACGGCAATAGTGATGCGAGGTGGTACGATAATGGTGACGGCCAACATGAGTACCTTGAGGGATCTTGTGGTGGCATTGGCTTCGTCAAAGATTTTGGGCAAATCGGCGGCAGAATTCCAGGCCAAAATGGCAGTGGCCATGTAGGGAATGATGGTAAAGAAGATTCCCAAGTAGGTGGGCCACGGACTCCCCATGTTGGTGCGACATTCCCATTGTTCGGTCTGGACCGTGACAGTAAAACCGTTGGTGGCAGTCATAGTGGATTGTAGCTGTGCATCCTCATGTGGATACGCCGAACTGGAAGTTTGTGTAGTACTGACGTAGGTAGTTTGCTGTTGTTGATCGACTTGCAAGTGTTCTTGCATTGGGGGGACCACCAGATTGCAGAGCTGCAGCAGTAGCTGTGGAATCATGAGGACAAAGATGAGCCACAATAGTTGCTGTACGGGTACTTTTCTTCGAATGGACGCTGCCATCTTTCGTCTTTGTCGACAGTTGTGACTAGTATTGTTGTGATGATGATGATGATGATGGCTGTGGTCCATGTCTCTTCGTCCCCGCAAACATAATATTGCTCCCATGAGTGTCCGCATGGCATCTCGGAAATGATGCCGGCAGTAGTGTCCCAGTATCCCATGAATATCCGCCAAATATGTGAGCCCCGTCATGATGTGTCGTTTGAGTCGTTGTCCCAATCTCCCCCCACAAAGACAACCACACATTGCTTGTCCGTAATCCTCGTCGTCATCGTGGACTTGCAAAATGGGTGTCAGCAAGAGCACAATTCTCCAAACTCTTCCCAACAAAATACACCCCGCCAGTGTCAATGGAGTCAAAATGATGGGATCTCGTAAAAGACAGAATATGTCGGCAGCCTGATTGTTGAGTGCCATGGTGGTATAGTCGTCTTCTTCTGTGTCATAGTCACAAGTGTGTACCAGCAGCAAGGCACATCCTCCAATGGAAACACTTCCCGCCAATAATAACACGGCCAAAACGGCGGGTTGTGCCAATTGCAGATTCCCGTGCTTGCGATGTCGGATCAGCAGGGCACACATGATCATACGAAAGAACACAATCAACGACAGCAAAAAGACAAATATACCGGGAAACGCTTTGGAATGACAAAGGGGATCTGTCTCCACTTGCCACACGGGGGGTTGGACGGCACTGCTGCTGCCAACACTGGTGGATTGCGCCTCCGATACATAGGCATTTGCCACACTCCAATAATCATCTTCCATTGCCAAAATTCGGACGGCAGGAACCACGGGAATGCTACCATTATCTGGGGTAGCAATTTGATCATGCTCAGAAAAATCATTATTGGGGGTATCAGAGGTATCAGAAGGCGACATTGCCCTGATCTTTCCTTCATCTTTATGGAGAGGGCTCTTGTAGTAGCTTGTCATGCTGATCTTGTGGTGCTCTGGGGAATCAGAACCCTTGCCAACCGACTCATCCGAAGGGGTAGCATGATAATTTCGCTGTTCCAGAAGGTCCTTGCGGGAATTCTCGTCAGACCTCATTGCTCTGGATGAGAGGGGGTTCTTTGTTGCGTCGATGCCTCTTAGAGAGGAAGCTGTGCTCGTCATCTCTTGTTGTCTCTCGAAAAGGCTCACTCAACGGACAAACCGGTCTTTAAGCTAGACTATCGTACAAGTTTCAGATTTCAGATACCAAACACCAACAATACTGACTGCAATAGCCACCGGTAGCTAGTAGGTTGGAGGCGAGGAATGGGTATACAGTATGGAATGGGAATAGGTGACTAAACTGTGTTGACCCAACCAGCCACTGCCCCTGCTACGATTAATATATTACCATCCACTCGAACACCACCATGAATGTACCGGTAGACCAACCCACTCACCAAGCGGCTTCCCTGTTCATTTTGATGCCAACGAACGAACCGGTGAGCTGTATTGATGGTAAACTCGTCGGACCACGTAGGCAATCGCGTCAAAATTTCGGCTTCTTTCGGAGTAAAATGAGTCATGAGCGACGTGGCAAGATGTAAAGGCCATAAGACGAAAAGTTCAAGATCAGTTACTTATAAATCCTATTTGCTAAACAGACATAATGGGCAGGGCAGAAGGGTGATTCCTACCTCCTACCATTACCCACGGGTATGTGACAGCTGGTGACTCAGCCTTAGTCGAAACAATGCACCGCTCTCTCGTAACTCGCAACCTCCTAACTAAAACGACGTCGCGACGTGCCCATCATTGCATGATGACAGCCCAAAACGAGCTCCAAAACGTCAAACTAGCTAGACTCCAGTAGTGGGAAGATATGGAAACTCTGTCCTTGCTATAACAGACATATTGAGCAGGGGAAAGGTTTGATTCCTACCATAAGTGACAGCTGGCGACTCACCCAAAGTCGAGACAACGAGACAAAGCACGCATCTTCCAACTCGGAACCTCCTCGCGACGTGCCCATCATTGCATCATGACACCTCAAAATGTCAAACTAGACTACATACATGTAAGGGAAGATAGGGAAACTCAGCAGGGACAGCCACACCCACACAACAACTCAGTGCAGTCAAACGATGATCCAGAAGACCCCTCACAAGATTCCAAGCCATCGCCAATGCATGTGCCATTGACAGTACAAAGAGGTTCTGGGATCACACCAGAAAGCAAGCTGTTGCCCTCAATCCGAAAGCTGTACAGTGATTCCTGCAAGGAAGCCAATTCCACTGGAACAGTTCCATGCAGGAGATTGTTTTCCATGCTAAGCTGACCCAGAGATGTCAGAATCCCAAACTCGGAAGGGATTTCACCAGTGAAACGGTTGCTGCCAAGGGCCATATACTCCAAATTGGAAAGGCTAGAGAAAGCACTGGGAATTGTACCAGAAAGCTGGTTTGACTCAAGGCCTAGCCGTTGCAGTGGAGGGAGCCCCAGCTCAGATGGGAGAGTGCCGGTGAAGAAATTGTAGCGCAGGTTCAACCGATAGGATGAAGTAAGAAGACCGAGTTGACTGGGCAGTGTCCCCTGGAGAAGATTGAATGACAAAGAGAGAATCTCAAGCTTTGAGAGTTCTCCAAGCTCAAAGGAGATAGTCCCAGAAAGTTGATTCCCCAACATAACCAGCCATTCTAGAGATCTAGCCTGGCCAAGCTCTGTAGGAATAGAACCTTGGAATAAAGAAAGAAGCATGTAAAGAGAACATCCTTGGTGGGGCATTTAAACACGAGACCACACGAGACTTACCAGAGATATCACAATCGTCCATCAAAAGCCACCTCAGATTTGAGAGATTGCCAGTACTTGATGGAATGGTTCCTTGTAACTTCTCATTAACACCAAGAGCAAGGGTGTTCAGATTGCTTAGTTGCCAAAGTTCATCTGGAATGGACCCTCCCAGCTTGTTGCCATTCAGCCCAATGAATTCTAAGGATGACAACTTGCTGATTTCCTTTGGTATGGATCCAGACAGCCCAGTCGTGAAAATGACAAGCCCCTGCAACTCTGTAAGCTGTCCAATATAGCTAGACAATGAGCCATACAGAGGATTCAGACCAGCAGAAAGAGTTTTGAGTGAGGTCAAGCTGTAAAGTTCTTCTGGCAGAGAACCAACAAGGTGGTTCTGATCCAACCACAAATGTTGATAGAGCCCTTGCTTGTCACATTGGCTGTCAGGTAGAGGCTCCAAGAAGCCTCTTAGGAAGCCTGGGTATAGCTTTCCTACGAATGACTTGAGAGCAAATTCTTGATTTTGAAACCAAGCACATTCATGTAGATCATAGCTTCCCCATCCTTTGTTGTTGCTCCATTGAGTTGGGCCTGCAGTCGCATAGAAAATTGTCATCAGAGCGTGCCTTTGAAGAATCCGCCAATCTGGATAGTCATAGACAAATGGATCTTCTATAAGCCATTCAAAGGCTGTGTATTGCGCCGAATTCTTGTCTTCGATTTCCCTCATGGTGTGATTTGGGAGCAACGATAAAAGGAATGATTCCAGTGATGTTGGGGCCATGGTTGGCACTGTAGTGGCATAGTCCATAGGAGCCACAGTCGTGTGTCCTTCCCTGGGGATAAGGAATACAATCAAGAGAACAACCATGGTACTACAAATTTCAGTGTTGCTTTGATCTTCTTTGCGTCTTCTGACTTCTGTGTCATGTGCATCTTGCTCTCTGATATCTCCCAGTTCTTGTGCTGTTTGTAGGTTCATTGTGGAAGTCTCTTCCACTGGGGTGGCAACAGACAGTCGTATGCTGTCTTTTTGTGGTGTGCTGGTATCAGCCAATTCAAAGTTTTCGCTCTGGGCGGAGGTCATATATTCCCAGCGCAGAGAATCCCGCTCGCCCCAGAATAGAAAAACGCATTGTGGCATTGCGGTGTAGGCCCGCGCCTGGCGCACCAGAATAGGCTCCAGGACGAACTGAATGGCTGGCTTGAGTCTGCTGCGGTAATTGAGTGAGCTCATCTTCAGTGGGACTGTTTGCTCCACCAGTCTCATCTGTGTGCTTTGTTTGGTGTGTCCTGTCTACTTCCCTTGCCCTGGCTTCCACAACCTGCAGCACATCAAAGTTGCTTTCGTGGTGCTCTACATCCTTCAGGCTGGCTCTGCCCCCCTCCCTTGCTCTGGCTTCCACAACTTTCAGCACATCAAAGTTGCTTTCCTGGTGCTTTGCATCCTTCAGGCTGACTCTGTCCAAGCAAGGTTCTTCATGTTTTTGATTTTTGTCCATTTCAGCTGTTGTGGTCTCTGGCTCCCGGTCGATCTTTTTGGGCGTGGCTTTGGACTCATCCTCTTCTCGGAAACACTGCTCAGAAGAAACTTGAGCTCTCTGGCACAACTCTACAAGCTTGAGCGGATCCATCTCTTCATCTTGCTCATCCTTGCATTCAATTCTTTTGCTCATAGTTGCTTTTCGTACCAATGGCGTTTGTTGATTGCTAGTAACACTCTAGCTTAGTAAAGGTCAAAAGGGTTTTACTGTTAAGCTATTTCCAAGAAGTGATCTTTCTCCATGTTTTCTGGGATTGATTCAACTTCAAAGGATATAGTGAAGGGGGTGACCATATAGATCAGTTAAACTCCCCATGTATGTAACTAGAGAATTGATATAGATATCCCCTCTAAACCAGATTGGGATAAACGAATAATTTGTATTGATGTGTCTGTAATACAACCTCCAACACACTCCTGCACGGTTCCATAAAGGATACCGTGGAACGAATAATTAATGTAATGATGGTTGTTCCATAAGGAACAGTTGTTGGTCGAGAGAGACCACTTGCTAGGTTGCTCGGCATTCCGCTTGGTGGCGAGAAGCTTGTCATCCATAGCAGTGCTGACAAATCTGTCACAGTCAATGTGGACATGTGGACAGTGTCGTCATGAAAAGCCACTGTGGCTACCACTCCTGTGAGTGTTGCCACTCCTGTATGACTTGCTGTGGCGGTTGGTGCCGTCACTTGATGTTGCTGTATTCGAAACTGGGAAGTTCCGATTACTTGTTGAACCGTGGACTGGGAAGTTCCGGTCACTTGGTATTGCTGTAGCTGGAAACTAGGAAGTTCCGGCTGCATTCTCATAGACTCAAACTGTGCTCTTGACTGGCGGTGTAGACTGAACTGAACATCGATATGCCATGGTCTCAATCGCCAATGATGTGTGGAAACATCTATCCATTCAGGCTTGATACTGGATTTGGAAATCAGGTGAGCATATGAGTCTGTGCAATAGCTTGGTAGCTATCTGGAGTCAGCTTGTTGTCCATTGGAATGGAACGTGAGCTGTCTCTTCTTGTTGGATGTCCAAGAAGTGTTGGATGTCCTGCTGTTGTCTTTTCCAGAGGAATGGAATCCTCTTCTTCCCAGCTGGGGAAGCTTCTTCCTTCATCACGGCCTCCTCTTCTTTGGAATCGAATGGCTGTGACTTGTTGTACATGAATGTGTGCTTGCTTGATGTGGACCTTGGTTTGCACCTCTTGTAGATGGGTGCTGGCAACTTGTGGCGTTCCGTCGAACTGTTGCTTGCTTTGAGCTGGTTCCATGGTGGAACTGTTCCTGTGGAACTGTGGGAATCCTCTGCAGAAGATATCCCGGTAGCACTGGTGTGTGGCTACCCTTGCTTGAGTAAGCTTGCTCTGCCTCGATAGGCTTCTGTGGTCGCACTTGCAATCTCATGATGGATCTTCTGAGTCGATCCCGAGAGTCAAACTGAATCGATCTCGTGGTCGCTGCTTGTGATTCGATCGCTTCGTGTCATTCGATCTGGCATGATCGTTTCTTGTCAGTCGATCTGGTGTGTCAATCTGGATAGATCGATCGGAGAATTCAAAGGAAGGTTGAAAAAGGTTTGAGACTTTGGTTTTGGTGGGTACAACTTTATCAATACCACTCCTGCTATCACTGTTGGCATACTCCTGTGAGCTAGCTGTGGCAGGATTTGTACTTGATGTAGCCAAAGCTGGCTTGGTTGGTTTGGACATTGGTGGATCTTGGGGTTGCTATGGAACTAGAGGTTTTCCTCTAAGATTCCTGAGAATCGATAGCACTCAAAGTGTCTATCTGTGCTTGGGTAAGCAGGCTCCTGCCTTGTAAAGGCTTTGTAATCCAAGTCTCACGTCGTCGTGTTGACTGGCTTGCAATGAGTCCAAAACCAACCTTGGAAGTAGTTGCTCGGCATCCCGCTTGGTGGCGAGAAGCTGAGCGGTGGAGACGAGACAATACGGACATTGTCATCATCGGAAAAGTCTTTGTGGCTGGCACTCCTGCTGGGAGTGATGCCACTCCTGGAAGACTGGTGTCGGATGAAACCGTCACTAGGTGTACCTGCGGTGCAGACCGGGAAATTCGGCTGCATTGACACTTGATGGGGCTGGAAGCCCTTCATAGATGGAAGCTGGTTGAAGCTTCTGGAAGTCGTAGACTTGTGGGAAGTGATGCCCTATTGGAAGGTGCATGGAAGCTGGAAATGATGTAGCTTGGAAGTCACGGACTTGTTGGGTTCGACTGAACCCAGTTCTTGGATGGTCTCGATGTCTGAAGATGGAATGAGGAAATGGTTGAGTTATTGTTTCCTCTTGTCATGGGTGTTTATACTCATGTGAGACTCGTGACTGCTGGTGTCGTCACTTGTGGTGACTGGTGCCGTCACTTGGTACACTTGGTACCGTCATTTGGTGTTGCCGTAGCTGAGACTGGGAAGTCAGGCTATAGCAACACTTGGGAGAACTGTTGTAGTAGCTGGAACTAGGAGGAAGTTCCTTGCCACAATGATACTTTGAGTTGGGGCTGGAAGCCCTTGGAAGTTTGGAAACTTGTAAGGAAGTATTCGGTAGTAGTTGTGGATGCTCCAACTTGATGGGCTCCACTGGACCTGGACGTGTCACGGTCGATGATGGTTCGATGGATCCTTTGGTTGGTGATGTCACTGCTCTTACACTCCTGTGAGATGGCTGTGGCTCTACTTGTAGTTGTCCTTAGTTGTATCTGTCGATAACTTTTAGGAGCGAGAGCTCTGGATCCCGTCAGAGATAGCTCCAACAGTACTATCTGCTACCTCCTACTGCTTCTGCCCGGCCTCAACAGGATTGGTATCAACTGCTGCGGTATCAAAGGGGCTACAAGCTAATCAGGATCGGTCTCAATCTTTCGTACTATTTTCTTAACTATGATGGAAAGGACGATCCTTTCTTGCTGCTTTGCTGGGAGATAAGCCAGCTGTGGGTGCTGGAGCTGTAGGCCAGCCTAGCTGTTGGAGCTATCTCTGACGGGATCCAGAGCTCTCGCTCCTAAAAGTTATCGCTCCCCACGAGTGCGTATGGATCCGCTCTCATGGGAATGCCACGATATACGATTAGTTACTAACTAACTACAATACATACTCTCCCCATGAACGGAACATTCATGGGCCACTCGGCATCGACTGCTAGTGGAACACAATGTGAGATTGGAGATCTCACGAGTGGAGGGACTTGCATGGTTGGTCGGTTGCTGGACCAAAGGTAGGCGCAAAGGGATTGCGTGCTCATCAGCATGACCAGACTCGGTAGGTGTCGGCGGTGCTGGTTGCTATCATAGCTGTTGTTTGTTTTCTTCATATGTAGACAAATATTGTGGCTTTGCCACAGGCCGAATTCAGCGGTGGCAAGCTCTCAGTGGAGCGGCCTTCTTGCCCCGCGGACATGTTCCTTGACTGTGGGTCTTGGGCTCGATCGATCAGGAACATGAATCAATCGCCCTAAGGAAAATCCAACGGCGTCACCGGTATTGGTCCATTGCCATGTACTGTGGCCATGGCATCCAGCTTTGGGGTAGGAAGCACCATGACAGTCAGCTCCCGGGAAGGAGACACTACGGCAGCCAGCTTCGGTGTAGGAGACACCAAAGCTGCCTTGGTTGCAGATACTTGCTTTGGTTGCTCTCCATGGGTTTCACCAAGAGCAGTGGGTATCTGCTTGGTGGTCCTCCTGGCAAATGGACTGGTGATGGTTGGACCTAGACTGGGCCTAGTATCCGAAGACAATGTCACCTCATTGGGCACAAGTCTTGTGGCACTGGCTGTGCCATAGGTTGGTGGTTCTGTGGGAACCAGGCTAGGAACCTTGGGCGTCACTGTGGGTGATGGACCACTAGGTCTCCTGCCAATGTTGGTTGTGGTGGGACCCTTGTGTGCTCTGTGCCTTGGGGCAGGTTGCTTGGGGGTCACCACAGTGTGGGTCTGCTCATATGCTCTTGGCTGGGGAGCTGGCTGAGTGGGAGCCACACTTGGTCTGTTTGGTTGTGCAACTGGAATGTTGTTGGCACCAGCTCTGGAAGCTGGTTGCTTGCTGGCTGGAGGTTTTGCCATCATGATCTCCCCAGAGGTTGGATGACTACTAGGGCTGGCAAGCTCGATAATCTCCCCATCATCCAACGATGGATGGGCACCAGCGAGGGCATTCAAGGGTGTGGCATTGGGCAGCTGGTGGCTCATGGCTGGGACACGCAGGGGTCGTGTGACAGGCAACTCCCCACAAGCTAGCGTGGGAGATGGAGCCGTGGCTACATTGGTGGACAGCTGGTTGGTGGCCAAGAGGGCATCAGTCAATCGTTGCTGGATGGTAATGGCATCCAGTCGTTGCTGGGTGGCAGTGGCATCTTGCTTGGAACGAGTAGCCCTGTGGCGCTGCTCCTGCTTCTTTGGGCTGTGGAGCCGTTGGGTACCAATAGCGCTGTCACCAGTCGGCTTGTGGACGCCATCAGCACTGCCCATGGCTGGCAGTGGAGTGGCATTGGTCTCCCCATGAACTGATGGTGTCAAAGCAGGTGTAGGCGCTGTGATAGGTGGCCTAGCAGCTACCATGACCAAGGCGTCCAGTTGAGCTGTCAGTTGGTCCTTCAGGGCGATGAACTGAGCTTCCATCTTTCGTTTGAAGGTTTCGTGGTCAGCTCTCATGTCTTGCTTGAATGATTCGTGATAAGCTCTCATGA